CTTTTTAATCAGGTTCCACTTTCCGAATGCCACAGTGAAAAGCTAACTGCTGGCATATGTGGTGGTACTGTCCCTCTTTGATGTGTTTTTCTCAGCAGTGAAATACTAAACGGCATTTGTATTTAAATTATTTAATAATAAGGCTTGATTTATCAGTCTACCGAGAAGAATTAGAGCAGTTCACATCTCTTAGACAGCAGACGTTACTGCAACGCATGCAGTCATCCTCAGTTTGCCTGTCTTGTTGGCTTCTCAACAAGTGCAGCAGCAGGGACACCAGAGCCAACCGGACTACCACACAGTATTCACATCTCCTACAGAGGGATTCACGTTCACTTCATGTTTTTAAAAGTAACTTTGTAACTCTAAGAGTCAGATAATCTTTTTAATTAAGCACAGGTTCTTGATCATTCAGTAGTTCAATTTTTCAAAGTATGAATTTGCTTAGTCGTCGAGCACAACTGTGACTGTGTAAATGGCAACTCTGACTTTGCCAGATTTGACCCATTAGGCTTATGTCTAAATGATAAGCCATTCTCAAACAAAACGTCTAGCAAAGAGGTTGCTTTTGGAATGGCATATATTGTGAAGTTCTAGTTGAAAAACAAAAAAGCCAAATCCCCCAAAGTATGTATTTGTTTCAATTGAAACTCCCCCAGGTTTTTTTAAACTCATTAAAGCACTGGATTTTAATTTTAAAACATTTAAGAAAACATCATTTTCTCACTGTCTCCATTCCGTACACTATTTCCTACCTCTGATGAACTTGAAAGAAATCACAGTTGAATGAATTACCTTCATGATGTGTAATAAGATGTATATTATCTGATGCTGCAAGGGTTTCTGTTGTTGTTTTAGGGACTGTGTTTATTCATGTTGACTTTTGATTATCATTAGAAATGATTTGTTGTTTATTTCTTTGTGTTTCCAAGTGGTTGCATTTACCAACGATTTGGGAAGCCTAAGAGACTGAAAAGGTGTATTCTTCATTTTACTAGAGATCTCTTTCAGAATGCAGCTTGTATAATTAGCCGGGTTTTTTTAGAGAACAGCTTGGATTTAATTCATTATCCTATCTATTTTCTACCTTTAAGTCATCATATTTTAGAAATTTCACCAGTTCTTATCAAAAGAAGAGTGTCTGGTTGGAGCACATAAGTTGTCATTTCCTCATCACTGAAATAAAGAAGAAAATGACTGACAGAGGGTTTTTAGGTGGAAGAGTCTTTGTAAAAAGAAGTTTTACAATGGTCAAATATCTGAAAAAATAAAATAATTCTTATTGAATATGTTGTTTACAAGCTGGTAAACAAGGAAATTTTAAAATATACTTGTCAGCTTTCAAAAATTGAGGTTTTGTTGAATTGGTAGCAGTACTGTAGCATTTATTCTTCTATTTATGGCTTTATTTTCCTCCCTACTTGAAAAATCAATTTTGTGCTCCCCTGCAAGTAGTTCATACCAAATATAACTCACCCTAGGCAGAAGTCCTTTATATGGGACTGGGGTGCTAGATAACCACAGTGCAAGGACACTACATGTGGAGAATATCATAGGCAGGGAGTCCTGCGGGTGTCAGACACACAAGATATCACCTGCGACTTGGAGGACTCAGCCTTTAATTTGCAATAAATGATAAAGGGTGGTGTTATTCATGCCTAAGGAGTGTTTTGAGAATGATGCCTGTAGCGGGAACGTCATTAAGGATCATTAGCACGTTATTCCCTAGGCGTGTGAGTAGAAGGTGGAAACGTCCCACAAAATGGCACAGTTTCGGTTGAACCTGTTCCTCTCGGAGTACTCCCTTCGACGTTTCTTACTATCCTGGAAGTGTTACTGAAAATTGCAAACATGAAACTGCCTGCAATTAAGTGATCTAAGTTTGGCTTTATGTTTTTAACTTGTGTAACGGTAGTTACATTCAGAGATTGTAATTTTTTTATTGGGCTCTGTGCAAACACATAAAAAGAAAAGCCTCTGCCCTGAGGACGTTACGTTTTCTTTATTCTTGCATCCCGCGTGCGGCTTTACTCGCTCTTGTGCAAGTATACAAAGTTCAGCCTTCTGTGAATTAATGTAACTTTGCAACTGAATCTCCTTCTCTGCTTTGTGAGCACAGCTGAAATGCGTCTTTGGTAACTAGAGGCGCTTCCCCGAAGGCCGTCCCGGCGTTGTGCAGACCCAGTTTGTGCTACCTGTTCCTCCAGTGGGGAGACCCTGTCCTTGGAGCCTCTTTCTGGCAGGTGGCCACGTCTGGCCTCCCTGACCTCAGTGAGGTGTCACGTGTTGGGAGCTGTAGTCGCTGAAAAAGGCATCACCAGATGGAAGACAGGGTGATCAGCAGGCCACAGTGTAAAACTCAGTGAACTGCCTTTGACTCACCCCTCTTCTCCTTTACTTGGAAAGAAACGTAGATAACTGCCTGATGGTTTAATACTTAAGTTACTAAGGAAACAACAACAATACTATAGTCCTCAAGTCACAGTCTGTGAACCTTAGTGAATATCCCGTATAAATGGTAAGCGCAGGAGATGCGGTTACAGTTGCTGGCAACGGGGTGGATGGCACTAGACTGTATTGCCTTCTTGATTTAGTAGATTTGACTTCTGCGTTTTCACACAATGACCTAAAAGCAATATTATACCCCAGAGTAACTTTGAAATTGTTTGTTTAAATTAACTTTCATTTGGATTTATGCTTAATGAAATCTTCAGAGATGCAGACAGCCCCTCTGTAATGAAATGCTGTATCTTTGAACCAATGAGCAGGGCTGCCAAACTGTAAGGATTCCTCTCTAAACGAGTGGGCTTTTATAATGTTACACTTGGGTGGCACAAGCAGAGTGCTAGATGATTAGTTTATGGTCTAGATCATTGTATTTTTATTACACTCATAAAAACTGTGTTTCTCCTCATTTTCGTAATGGCTTCAATGAGCTTCTATACCTTCTAGAGGCACATTAAATCGTTATGCGGTGAAAGTACTGATTTAGTGGGGCTAGTTTTAAAGTAAGATACATGTTTTGAATTCTTATCTTAGTCTGATTGCAGACTTAAAAAAAAAAAGTGAAACTATGTTAGAATGAATGAAATCCGTATCATCCTCTTCACATGCAGAGAAGGTTTCTAGCTGCGGCCTAAAACAAATAGAAATGCAAAAGAAAGAGACAGACTATAAATCTATATCTGTATATAAAATTAATTATATATCAGTTAAAACATTTTTGCTATTCTTATGGCACTGAGAGCTTTTGATAAGAGGTTGGGTGGATTACAGAGGTTTTGATTAAGAAATCTTTTTAAGGAACAAAAAGAAGAGAAGAAAGATTATTTTTATTCCTTACATTCAACTGTAATTTGTTTCTTCCATTTCTGTCCCAAATTATAAATAGCCCTACCCTGTGCAAAGCCTAGATTCATTTCTATGAATAATTCTAAGCTGGTTTTAAAAGTTATTTTAATTATATTGCATAATGAAAAAGAAGAAAAATATTATTTGTTTCTATATATGCAGGCTGTTCTTAAAAGAGAAGACAACATCATTATCCATGAATGGAAAACCTTTTGATTTGATATGTAATTGAAAAAAATAATCCTTGTATTGAATGTATCATCTCATCTTTGCACAGTTTAGACAAAGGCCTTTTTTGTTTACAAAATTTACATGTCAATACAGTTGCTTATAAATATTTCTGTGAAATAAACATAACCCTCCACAAAAAGAGCAGTTAACTCTTCATTCAGTGATTTTATAGGCTAGCAAAAAGACAATGAAAGTTGTATGCAAATATAACATCAATGTACAGCATAATAATAACAGTTTTTAGTGATTATGCGGCGTGGTATTAATTCATAGGAGGCTTTTTGTTCAGCCGTGAGCTGCGTTTGGAACACGGATTGGGCAGAGCCTCTCTGCTTGTTCTGCTCCTGGGGGAAACGTCCCCGCATCCTGGGGCTGAGGGTGATGGCCTGGATGCCTGCACCCGCTCTGTGGCTGGCCTGAAGCATTAACGGATCGCGCTGTTAGTAAAGATACACGTTTTTCCTCTGTTCCTGCTGTACCTGTGCTGTGCGAGCGCAGTCTGCAGGGCGGGTTGCACTGCTTCATTCTGCCTCCAGCAACAGAAAAAGCAGAGAGAGAGAGAGAGAGAGAGAGAGAGAGAAAGAGGGAAGGGGAAGGGAAGGGAAGGGAAGGGAAGAAATTGAAAAGAAGGAAGAAAGGAAGGGAAAGAAGAGAGAAAGGAAGGGCAAGAAAGACAGGAAGAAGGGGAAAGAAAGAAGGGAAGGAAAAGAAGAAGGAGGAAGGAAAGAAAGAAAGAAATAATGCACATCTACAAAAAACCTTTCCAAAAATTTATTTTTGGAAGGAAGATTTACCCATCAGAAACGTTTCTGGAAGAATAGTTTCAGTTTGGGTTTTGTTCTGCCTTTTCCTTCTCTCTGTTGTTCAGATGCAACTTTTACGGTTATTTCCGGTAGTTCAGTGGTTTCAGGAGTTGAGCACCTTTTGCTACATGACAAACTGCAACAAGAAAAAGGCTTGAGGGTACAGCGTCCAGCCCATGCTACTTCAGTGGGTCAATATATTGTTTGGTGGGTCAATATATTGTTAACTACCTATGTTCATGCTGCTTTAGTATTAAATACCAAACACCCAAATAGTTGTGTCTTTTGAAAGCATTGTTCAGTGTTTCCTTTGTGTATCTGGAAGTTTGAAAGAAAAGCAGCTGAACCCGGTGCTGGGAGCGAGCAGAGATTTTGTGAAAGACACGGATTGAATTCGTTGGAAATTCTTTAATATTTCGTGGAAGCGTGCAAAATATGGTGCCAGTTTATTCAGGGATTTGAAAGCAGCTGCAGAGTAAAAGTGTCTAATGAAAATGAAATAAATTTCCTGTGAATGGAATAAATTTTGATTGTGTGTCTGAGTGCAGTAATTATACATGTCACGCGGTAATTAGGCAGTCACAATGTGGCCACGGTGTCTTTCTTTGTCTGCAGATGGTCTGGGAGAACGGCTGTGTCGTTATTGTCATGCTGACACCCCTTACGGAAAATGGCATCAAACAGTGCTACCACTACTGGCCAGACGAAGGGTCAAATCTCTACCACATCTACGAGGTACTTAAACAAAATCTCTGGTTGTCACTGTGACAGTAAGTGGATGGATTGATTTCATGCAGGGCAAAATATTGTTTAATCTGATCTAACCTGTAAAGTGAGTTGAAGTCTCTTAAATACTCTCAGTGTACCTTGGAGTCGTTTTAGATTTGTGGAAAATTTGGCGCAATTTTAATAATGTGATGGTTTGCATTGAATAGCATCTAGTAAATAATGAGCCAAGTGTTGCAGTGAAAAAAGGAGAGGGCATAACTTTGTCTTTAAAATGATTACGCTAGTGATTAAAATACAAACGCATGTATTTATATCTTGTAAGTAAATAGTATGTTTATGGCTAGTCAGTTTTGCCTTAGGAAAGCTGTATGTATATGTTTATTTAAAAGCCTATACGTAGCTTTAGTAATTAGCGCTATTGATTTTTACCTTGTGCCTCACTTGCAACAAATGTTTGTTTGTTTGTTTGTTTGTTTGTTTCCTGCTTTGTGTATCTTAGCCCAAAATATCAAGTCACGGTGTTTTGTTGAAATGTAACTTTGACAATGGCTGTCATATTTTTCCAGTTGTCCAGCTGAGCGGATGAAGAAAAAAATACCACAGTCGCCCAATATGAAGAAAAACTAAATGTGAAGAATTATAGCTCTTTAAATGAACATATGAAAATACTTGCTTTTTCTTAAAAGATTGACTATGAAAATGAGCTGCCTTTTTTATGCTGAGTTTTCTCCATAGCAGAAGGAATTAACTTCTCATGTGAACTGAATTATGAGATCTTTAAATCCAATCAGACTGTCCTAAGCAGTGCATTGTGGGCATATCCAAGTAGATGGTGACTGGCAGTTTAGCATATTCTCAGGCGTTGCCTCTTTTGTATTTCTATAACAATCTAAGATTTCAATTTCATGACTTTTCAGTTTGCAGTAAAACTGTCAAGAATTTTTTTAAGTTTTTCAATCTAATAGCCATGGCAGCTAAACTCTTCTTGAAAACAAGTACAGTGATTGCTGAACAACAAAGTATTTCTCTAGCAATGGCCCATTTGCTAATAAACATAAAGCTTTCATGCAATTCCTTCCTTCTAGACATCCATTTGATTTTGAAGACACTGCTGGCAACTGAAATGCCTGACTTGCGTTTGCTCCTTCCTGTGTGGTACAGGTGAACCTTGTCTCTGAACACATCTGGTGTGAGGACTTCCTAGTGAGGAGCTTCTACCTGAAAAACCTGCAGACCAACGAGACGCGGACAGTGACGCAGTTCCATTTCCTTAGCTGGAATGATCAGAAAGTTCCTGCTTCCACAAGATCACTTCTGGATTTTCGCAGGTAAAACATAACATGTAACAGTTTACTTCAGATAACGTCAGTGTGAGGAACTGAAGTAGCTGCACTTCTAATTGCCCATTAATTATTTCTGTTTTGAAAGGGTGTCCCTCAGCCTGTGATATAATGACAGAAAAACTGGCAAGCAATCTGCAGTATATAGGTCGATTTTTAGTGTTGTCTCACAAATACCTGTTGCCTGATTTTAAGACATACTCATTTCCCGTCTAGAGATAATGCATTTCTTCCTTTTGTACAGTTCTTTTGTGCTTTTTTATTTCTCTATTCTACAAATATTTACCAGGTCTGCAACTCCAAGGCCTTTTATGGGGCTGCTCTACAATCCTTGTTGCAGGAATCTCACAAATAAATTACGTAGTGTGAGCACACTAAGGAAAAACCTGGTCACAATCGAGTCAGATGGCAGTGATGGCTTTCCAGTGGGAGTGTTTGCTCACAAGGATCAAGCAGTCAGGACTCTAGATTTTCTGTGGGTGAAGGAAGGTGCAAGTTTGAGGAAGCACGTGAAAATATCGACAAAGGAATCCCTGTGAAATTTTAAAGAAAGTGAACGGGGCTTTCAAATATAAATACACAAAGGCAAAAAAAAAAAAAACGAGAATCCCTGCCATCTTCAGTTTGCTGTGTCTGTCTCAATTTTAATTTGAAAATTAAAGCCGTGCCTGATAAATATTGGGGTGAAATAATCTTCATTTGATTGCAAACTGTGCCTGGTGCAGCGCGTGTGGGTGTTAGCATGTATCAGCTAATCCGCGGTGCTGCGCTGACGCCTAATGAAAAGGGTCTCGGCGAGGTCTTGGGAGTCGGGTCAGAGTCCGCCGGTGGCCGGTGGGATCCCGTGCTTTCCTCCCCCTGCTGCAATATTATCTGCAAACCCCTGAAGTGATTATCAGGGGCTCAGCGCTCCGAAGGTCCAAACTCGGTCTTTCAGTAAGCGCTCGTAGCTCTGACTGGTGTCAGTAGGAGTTGCGCATGTGCACCTGAGGGGACGGCCTGGCTTATATCCGACTGGAGCTGGTTACACACTTGTCTGTTGGCAAAATTTTGCTCTTAAAATTAAGGACTAAATGCCAACCTTCATCCGTCTATATTCTCTTGCATATTACAAGGATTTCAAAGCAGAGGGAAATCTCACACGTTGCAGGTCAAGTAACGGAGTGCAGCTGCTGAATTGTATGAACTATGGCTAGGTAAGAGTATTAAGGGCATGCTGCAGCGTCTCAGTCCAAAAGCAGTAGGGGAGGAAGGAAGCACTGGCGTAAGGATGGAGTTGAAACCGTAATTGAATTTTCAAGATTTTCTTCTCTGGGTTCAAATACAGACTGCAATGTGATTTTTATAGGTCGATTTTTCCTTTGCTTATGGTACTGCAGAAGCTGCCGGTAGTGGATTTCTGCAGTGGAAATTTGGGATTGGTTCCATTAAGCCATGAAGGTGTGCAGCGCTGATCACACATAGCACCTGATTTTGCCGTTTTGAAGTTAGCGGGAGATTTGCTGTTGATTGTAACTAGAGTAAGAACAAGGCCATACAAGCAGGTCTTCTCACGGTCTTCAGCATCTCGTCTCGTTGGCTTCACCAAGAGTCAGTCCCTGCAGGGACTGCAGGATTAGGTGTGCGCTGAGGCACAGTCCACGTGGCCGAGAAAACACAGGTTAGGGTGACCTTCTGTAAGGATTAGCTGACCATGTTGTAGAAGCATTCACTGCACAATGTTTTGAAAAAGCAAAATTACGACTAGGTGAGAAAAATGGTTCAGCTGGCGTTCGTCCTATTTGGGGCAAGCATGGGAATGAAATTGTTAAGATTTAATTGAATCCTGAGTGTTCATTTAATATGTATTCACAGTCCAGTTGAGAGTACTGTAATCATTTGCTACGTGCAGATTTTGTACTATGATCTCGTAATGCTGAATGCGTAGTAAAATTCCTTCTGAAAAGGAATTTTGGCATGCACACTAGCTGGTCTATGAATCTCAGTTTTCTTGGTCCTCTGATGTTGCTGTTTTTTCAATGACAAAAACTAATGCACTATTGCTGAAATAATGTGTTTGGAATTCCTTTATAGAATAAATGTTTTGCACCTGAAGCTTCCTATTTAAAGTACAACCTCTGCTGAATAACAACAACTGAGTCGTAAAGCCCCCAGAGTAAATGTCTGACCTCGTAGTAAGGTAGTGCCAGGAAGGGGCTGCTCTCATTTCTTTTAGTATCTATGTTTCTATGTGCATTCAGTGTGTTTGTATATATATATATGGACATGTGTTTATATTTATATATTCACATACATATATGAAATTAAGCATATACATAACCAACCCTCTATTTTTTATAATTCATCACCAAGAAAAATTGGATTCCCAAAATTACCTTGCCCAGAGTCGGTGGAAATATGGACCTTCTAATTTTTATTAAAGTAAATTTTGCAAGTCTCTCTGAAAACTGAAAGCTTACATTTCTCTTATTATGTATCAGACAGTGTTTTAGACGATTTTGCATTTAGCAGACACATTAAACCTTGAGGAATAATCTATCACACTTTAATAATGTAGGTATAAATTGCCAAAAAGAGATTATTCTACATATTTTAAAAGAATCTATACAAAATACAGTCCCTGAGAGGCGAGGCTACTGCAGAAACCACTGGTCAGTTTTAACTGCTTCTGGAGTCCTAATTTCATTTTGAACAATAGACCAATCATTATTGCTCTGGACTAGCTTGTTAGTCATGCACTGATATGTGTAATTAAATATTTCTTGAGCCCAGAGGGAGCACATTTACACTTTAAAGAGGGACTGCTAAGCTAAAAGATAATTAGCATCACATATGAGGGCTTTGCTTAAAATATATATCTATTCTGCTATCACTTCTTGCTGTGTGCAATGGCATTTACTAACACTGCTCACTTTAAAAACGGACAAATTCTTATTTTGCCAGCTAATTAGCGGTTGCCAGTGTCATTTTTGTGATGTTGCAGCTAGTAATATGAGCCCAGTTGCATAGTCACAAAAGTGATCATTGGAAACTGTGACTCTGCTGCAGGGACAATGTGGGAAGCCCCTTTTCTGAGCCTCTAACGACCTCTGACCTTTGCTTGCTGATGGTTTGCATGATGATTTCTTTTTCACTCAATGAGCCAAGGGTTGGTTTGTATTACTAATCATTCTTTCTAAGTTAATCCTTCCTGTATATGTATATATTTTTATATATATATTATATATTCTCTTAAACATTTAAGAACTTTGCTTCCTGGTGAATTTTCAGCTCACTCTAATTAGCCACAGCTAAGAATGAAATGCGATGTTGCTGCACTTCTAAATATTTTCCTAATCTATATGCAGACAAAGCTATGAACCAGCTGGATTGCAACCCTTTGTTTTAATGTGTTTTATGAAATGTGTGATAATGAAAATGTTTGAAACGCCTTCAATAAAACTGACAAACATGAGGTGTCTTTCCCT